TAAAAAAAAGAGTTTTTCTTTTACATCTGGCGAAAATAATTAATGATAGGGAGAGTACGTACTTTGTCAGCGTATTGTGAGACTTCCATTGCGATATCAATACCGGACCAGGACGCGCCGAGTATGCAGACCTTTTTGCCAGCATATATCTCCGGCATTCTGTATTGATGACTGTGAATGCATTCACCGTGGAAGCTTTCGATACCTGGAGTATGCGGAACATGACCGATAGTGTAATGACCGTTGCACAACACAACGGCATCAAAAGTTTTAGTGGTCTCTACTTTGGATTCCAAATCCTTGTATGTCACCGTCCACAGCGTCTGGCCGTTTTTCAAAATCTCCGGCTCCACGTTTTTCACCAGGGTATTCAACTGAAAAAGAAAAATCAAAAATCAAAAATAATAAGCTATAGTGCGAAACTTTGCTCTTCAAACTGACGAAGAAATGTTTTTATTATGCTTCTTCTTACTTTCATATGTCATATATTTAAATAGAACAAATAGATAAGAGATAAATTATTTCGATTTTTTGAGTTTCACAGTTTATATAATTCAAGAACTCACTTTAATGTAAGGATAGAGATTGAACTGTTTTGCATAGTCCAAAAGATATTCCCTTATTAGACTATGATGAGCAAAAGATGGACCCCCCTGATTTTTAAAGGGAAAATCAGGTATCTGCATTATTTCCTTCGGTATATTTGTCCTGTAAGAGAAATCAGAACATCGCACTTTCTTAGATGATTCCTCTCATATTGAGGTGATCACGTGCGCAATTTTTATTAATATAAGGTTCAAAAGATACGACGACCCGAGATGCGATAAAGAAAGTTGCAAGTTGTATGTATGTATATGTGTATTCAACTTGAAATAAACTTTAAGCTATTTTAAACTTTATACTTGACAGAGGTAGAATACAAATTAGATAAGATGACTTTCTCTTTGCGCATTTTATATAATTAAATTATATTTTATTTATAAGATAATGAAAAAATATACGTTTAAAACGTTTCAGAACGATATGCGCTCATATGTTTAGAAAAATATTTTCGATTTTACTTTGCCTCATCTGGCAAGTTTTTAATTTAATAAAATAAATTTTTCAGTGCTAATAATAAAATAAAGTTAATTATTAGAGAAGCTGAAGTTTAATATATTTTTCAATTTTTAATTGTATCAAATTGTAGCAAATAGGAGGATAAAAAAAGATATATGAGAAAATAATGCTGTACAAAACATTAACAGATATGTAGAGGATTAAATCAATAAGTGTAACAATTTGATCGATTTCATATGTAAACATTCTTTTATATCTACATAAGTTTTGACCTGCACCACCGACGAGATACTATTAGCTCGTCGATGCCTGCACCTTTGTTGATTGATTCGATATCTAATTTATTGTGTCATCATCGACGCATTCGTCTTCTTTCCGGAATTGATCGTCAAGAAACGATCGTTTCGTTAATATTAATGTATCATATAGTGTATCGTTTATCGATAAAGTTATCGCATTTATATATTAGACTGGGTGTTACGCATGTATATGCGTGTGAGAGTTTACGCGTATGTCGTTTATATATCCTTATTTCCGAAACTTCTTATTGTCCTATTCTATCGAGGATCGGTGAAAGAAAGAGGAACCGGGTAGAATCCGATATCATTTAAATAATGTCATTTTACTTATCGAAATATCGTACATATACTAATTGTAAGATATAGAATCTACATATAAGTCTATAATGTTTAGCTTGAAAGAAGCTCGATGAAAATCGATTTATAGCGTTTCAATTATCTATGCGTATACGAAAATTATACAAATCTTTTTGATAAGTCCGTGCATGCTAATATAATATAATGATCTAATGATGCAACTCTGCCACTAAACAATCACATTTCACGAAGTCGCCAAGTCCTGTCTCCTTAGCGCGTGCTACTGATGCAATTCTGCTCATTTCTTCATAATAATTATATATAATCGTCATATCCCCTCCCCTCAATTATATATTATATTAATTTTTTACATTTTAATTGAATCGTTTGAATGTTAAAAATATATAACTCTAAAAATCTGCCGTTCTTTATTTATGATAATCTAAAACACGTTCAAAAAATTACTAAAATCTAATGTTAAGTTAATGTATGTTTATTTAAAATTTATTTAGTATTTATTTTAATCTAATTTTCTGGAGTTATGTCCTTTCACTCGAATGCACGATAATTTATATTTACATTGTGCATAAAAAAGGTTCAATTAATTTTTTATGATTAAGAAATAACGATGCTAGGAATGTTTCCGAGATGAGATATGTGTTTCTTATTTATTCGATTAATATGTTATCTATAATTTATACGAACCTAAGATTCTTATACATGCTGCTGTGAATCAAAAGTCCGTGCTTATCGAGATGCGTTTCGTCAGTGTACACCCATGTACCACCGATATGGTCAGTTTGTTCGAACAGCATTAGACTGTAAATATCTAATCTGGACACCATATGACGGGCCACCACCAAACCGGCCACTCCACCACCGATAATAGCGATTCTCGTCTTACTACTCGGCATTGTTTTCTTTTACTCTCTTTCAATCTAAAGAAATGATATTATTTGTACTCTAAAACACTCTCGATCGAAAAGGTATAACTGAATAAATAAATCTCAAAGTATACATACAAGGTGTCCCATGACTTGAGGTCCATACATTAAGGGTGTGTTATTGAAGTCATTTAGAGTTGAAATTATTTAATAAACATATGTCCGTAAATGCTTCCTAACAGAATTACAACTATTGAAAGTTGATTTGAAGATTTGAAAAAGGAAAGAAAAAAGACACTTAATTTAACTTGTTTAGTTACACAAATGTATTACAAATTCTGTTCAAAATTATCTCCTGCAGATTTAATACAAAGTCTTGCCCTTCACACATTAACTTTCAATGATTTTAGTTCTGTTAGGAAGCATTTGCAGACATATGTTTATTAAACAATTTCAACTCTAAATCTTCAATAACACACTCTTGATGTATGGACCTCGAGTCATGGGACACCCTGTATATATACAAAGTAAAAATATACTTTTGTAAGAATACAGACGGTAATATTACATACGCTTTACGTTTTCTTCTTTCAGAAAAGATTTAGTAACGTAATAAAATAACTTTCAAGATATAAATATTGAAATGAGTAAACAAATTTGTCGTATGATAATTTTATCAGCAACTAATTAATAAATAATTATTTAATTAAAAGTTACCCGAGATTATCTTTACGTTTTCTGATTTTTATTCGTCGATGTAAAAATATATAAAAACTATATAAAATATTAAAATATTTTGCTAGCAATATTGTCTTCTCTCTTCGATCTGATCAGAACTTAGGAACGGCACACGATGTAACACTGGAGATAAACACGATTTTTCCTGAACTGGTTCGGCTAAAGGCTGGATTAAGACTGTCGAGATGAAAGCAAGTCCAAGTATTGCACTCTTGTGTTTACCCGGTCTCCCCACGCTAACTAAGCTTACATATGGGAAGTGTTTTTTCTTGGCGAGTTGCGGCGTGCGACGTATCCCCTTCTTCTGATGAAATCGCGGCGAAGTTTATAATCAGCACTGACCTGCGGGGCATCCACGAGAGTCGGCACATGGTTAAACATTCATTAATAAAAGTGTAAGTTTCGCGGCAAATTTTGGGGTCATCGTGACTTAATACGATAAGGAGATATGTACGTATCATATTTGCAAATATAATTTTAGGATTTATGGCGCAACGGGAATTTGAAAGATATAAATCTTGCAACTTTGAGTGTTATTAAATCAAAAAGACACTTAATTTTCACTTAATTTTTAATAGACTAAGAGAAATTATATTATTTATATATATTTAGCACACAAATATAAAGATGAAGTTTTACTATAACTGTTTTGTGTAAGTAAATAAATTTTATTAAAATTTAAAAAAATATGATTTCGTATAGTGCACTGGAAAAATGCATACAAAACTATCTATCATATTTACAAATTGCGGATCTCTTATAATAGTCAGCGTTTGAAGAATATTTGGAAAGTTTGAATATTATCAAATAATTAATTTAAGAGCTCAAAAAAGATCATGTCAATATTGTAATTCTAAACTTTTTCTATTCTATGCTAATTTCATGTTTCATTAATACATTTTATCCGATACGTATCACAGATGTAAGGTAGTATAGATTTTGCGCGACGAATCATGTGTGTGTGTTAAAATTTATTATTAAAATATTAGAACTACTTGCACTCTCTCTTTCTCTCTCTCTCTCTCTCTCTCTCTCTCTCTCTTTCTGATCTTATTCGTATTCAGATAGTAATTTTGTAGCTTGCTCCTATAATCAACGACACGCAATTAAATATAGAAAAAAAACGGAAAAGAAACATGCTGATAAGTGCTACAGTTTTAATGTGACAAGTGAGAAATAACGTGGTAGGTTTCGTCATATCTGTTACAACAGGCGAAATTCGCAGCAAAACGGTTATTTTTCTCCAGCCGTATGTTAATATTACTGTAATTAGTTCCTGATTATTGAGAGATTGCCGGTCGACCACGATTAAAAAGCACCAAACAAGAAATGCGAAAGGGAAAACGCCCGCTCGATTGTTTTTTTTTTTTTTTTACAAAGAAGGAGGCAGAGAAAACGCTGCATTTTATCTTTTATGAAGGTTTCACACTGGGTTCAATGACCGATGTCCAATATCCAATAGGAGAGTTTGTTTTCTAGAAACAAAGGTGTTCCTATAGAATCCACATTTTCCATTGGATATCAAACTGTCGTATATCGGACATGTGAATTCTCTTTTACGTTTCAGGCAAAAAAAGATCTACTAGTGACCATGATGTAAGAATATATTTATATATTTTTATATTTTTATTATATTTTTTATATTTTTATATATTTTCTTACATCATGCTAGTGACATTACGAGATCAATTCTGGATTGAGGGTAGTTCCAGTTTCACAGTTGCTTTCACTGTTTTATATCATATGATGGGCGGAATCGGCGATTCGATCCGTTCGCGCGAGTCTCGGAGTCTCGGAGCAACAGGGCTTGCGGCTGCAAAAAAATTTAAAAATTTTTCAAATTATATAACATTAAAATATCATCTGTTTTCGATATAACATTATGCGATATAGACATCCTTTTAAGAATATTTCGTTCAGCACGTGAGATAGGCGTATCTTTGGGATTAAAACTCGTTTTGAATGTGTCGGTGAAAGATTCGGCGATCCTTTGTGTTCCTCGTGAGGAGATTTTGCTTGCGGAAGAATCGAATATTGTATAAATAGACTTGCTGCTCGTGATGGCGATCAATTATGCGGATTTCATCGCGTCGAAACGACAGATCTTGCTTTTTCTATTTACGTTGAGCCAAGTTAGTAACGGTCACAATGAGGATGTACATACTCTCCAGTATACTAGCGAGAATTTCTCTACAGAGATTGAAACAATGGATCACTTTGTTATGTTTTACGCACCATGGTAAATATACAAATGCATATTACATACACATATATTGTTATTTATATGTTACATATATTGTTATTTATAAATATACACATATATTGTTATTTATAAATTAAAAGAGAAAGAAAGAAATAATTTCTCTATTTGGAGTACTATATTAATTATGATTGATAAGAAATTCTTTCTCTCTTAAAGGTGTGGACACTGCCAAAGACTTGGTCCTATATGGGAGCAATTAGCAGAAATATTAAATGAAGAGGATAATACTCTAAGAATTGCCAAAGTTGATTGTACAACTGAGATCATTCTGTGTAGTGAACAAGATGTTACTGGCTATCCCACGTAATTTAATTTATCTTATTTTACCATCTGTGTTAATGAAATCTCCATTAAAAAAGTTCTATTCAAATGAAGGAATTTTAGCTTTTTATATATATTATACAACCATGGTTTATAATTTTAATATTTCAATGTCTGATAATGTTCCTATGTGTCTTACTCTATATATAATAAATCATTAAATAATCCTGAAATTATATTATAATCATTATATTATTATACATTGGTAATTTATAAATACAGGCTGAAGTTTTATAAAACTGGAGAAACCAAAGGCATCAAATTTAGAGGAACTCGAGATTTACCTTCTTTGTTTGCCTTTATTAATGAACAACAAGCTAGTTCCTTTACGGTGTGTACTTTTATGCGTGACTTACATTGAATTTTATGTTACTCTTTATATCAAATTGCTAATATTATAGCAAATATTTTCCAGTTTGAAGATGTTGCACCATCTCCCCCAGAAGCAGTGAACGGATTGTTAGAATTAACAGAAAAAACATTTGAAAAACATGTTTCTTTTGGACATCATTTTGTCAAGTTTTATGCACCTTGGTGTGGACACTGCCAAAAATTAGCACCAACATGGGACAAATTAGCTAACAGTCTTTGTAATGATGATATTGTTAGTATCTCTAAGATAGACTGCACCCAGCATCGTAGTATTTGTGGCCAATTTGACATTAAAGGATATCCCACATTGCTGTGGATTGAAGATGGAAAAAAGGTATTACTGATTGAATTATCCTTTTTTTTCTTCTACTGAAAAAAAGGAGAATTATTAACATAAAAGTGTTTTGATGTTGAATTTTTTGATACAAAAAGAAAACAAAATATAAATTTCCAGATAGATAAATACACAGGTGAGCGCACTCACGAAGAACTGAAGGCCTACATATCGATGATGTTGAGTAAGAGTGCTGACGAATCGAGTCAACAGAGGGAAGACAATGATAGTGCCCTGCATGCTACATTGAGCTTGACAGCTGATAGTTTTCAGCATGGTATTGAGAAAGGTTTTTCCTTCGTAAAGTTCTTTGCACCCTGGTGCGGACATTGCAAACGCTTGGCACCCACATGGGAGGAGTTGGGTAAGAAGTTTTTCACTAACAATAACGTAAATATCGCTAAGGTCGATTGCACGCTCGATGGAAGCAAACAATTGTGCAACGAACAAGAAGTGGAAGGTTTTCCGGCATTATTCTTGTATCGAGACGGACGTAAAGTCTTCGAGTACAATGGCTCGCGTAATCTCGACGATCTGTATGATTTCGTAATATATCATCTTCAAAAACCGCACGACGAATTGTAATCCTACTGTAGTTAAAGTACTGCAATATAAGTCACACTACAGTATTTCCAATCAAGTAATTAAATTAATGATACGTATATATATGTGACATTGTATCTATCATTCATCATCAGACAAGAACAGGAGAATAGCAATCTTTTTCATTTTTATATCTTGTATGACAAAGAAAAAAAAACAATTAAAATATAACTGTAATCTCCAAAAGTTATGTACTTTCGAAATATATATTTATAAATGTATTTATTTATATAGTCCTTCCATACTTACCAATTATTTTCTTTCACATTTAAACTCATTTTTAAAAAGATAGATTGAAAATCTATGCTCATATCAAATTTATTTATATATAAATAAGAGAAAAATAAGAATTGTAATGATGACTTTGTTTTTTTTTTTCTGTATATATATTTGTCTTATGTTTTACTTTTACTTGTGTTTAAAGTCTCGTGTATTTAAATGAATTGTAAAATATGTTTTAATTCTCAAATATAGCGCAAAAAAAACCGCGTTGATTGAATCAGCTAAAAATAAGAATAAGAAAAACGATCGATTTTTTCGTATAACTTCTAATGCAGCGTAAAAATAACATAGATATAAATAGAATTCTTGCTCTTTTATTACAAATATGTAAAGATTTTGACGAATAATTATTAATGTCGAAATATACATATATATATGTTACATTTTCGTCATATATTGTAAGAATAGCGATAACCCTGTGTTTTTGTTTTAATTATCTTCTCTTAGCAATCGTTTAGCATATAATAAGTTACATTGCGAGTTGTTCTTGCGTAAGAGCACGTCATAATCAGTGATAAACACTCTCATTAATGCACCACCATGCAATAAATTGATCCGCTTCTTTTGTCTGATTTGCATTGTTATAACAATTCACAAATTGTTCTCATTGGAACAATATTTGTTTTCGAACCGTAAAGATGTTTACAGACTCGTGGCGAAATAGTGTTGCAACTGAGAGTTGTGGGAGACACAAACAGTTCGTCGGGCCCGGCTTTTGAACCTCGTGCGACCGTTTTGCGATAAGATTACATTCATTTTCCTTTTTTTTTTTTCTTTTACGTAGACCCTAACAAGGTTTACAGTAAGACACGCTGAAGTTCTCATTGTCGATGATGCAATATTGATAATTTTTGTAAGTAGTGAAGTTTATGTCACGCATATCGCTAACGTGATCGAAGATTTTCCTGATCACCGGTGGAAAACTCGGCACATTGGCAGCGGCCGCGATCTCGTCGTAGTAAGCCCATTGCCTGTCTTTGAGTTTATTGATATGTCTCAGCTAACAATGAAGAAAGTAATTATTGTAATGTAATGTCATCTTTTTTAGATAAATTTATGCGCTAGTATATCACATGTATGTATATTATATTATGTTTCTTTTTTAAAAAAGAACAACTTTTCGCTATTCTACCACCACATTTCTTAAGATGCAACTTTTTTTCTATCGCGGAGACATTGGAGAAATTAATCGCGAATCTTACCTGAATGCCTTGCTCCAATAGTGACTTCTTCTCGATCTCGTATTCCTCGCGCATTCTTTGCGGCGATGGCAATTGAATACGGCCTTCGAGAACTGCGAGAATGTATTGTGCTTGAATGTGGAACATTGGGAATGGTACCACGATCGCTGGTAAACCCATGAAGAACAGACTCGTGTAATCCATGTGCACCAGATGTTTGTAGATGGGTTCCACGTGGTTATCATCCGTACGTATCTCAACTTTAGTTGACATAAAGGGATACGTGAATTTGTAACCTGACAAAAATAAATTATTATAAATAATGAAAGTCGAGTTTCATTAAATATTCCGAATATATTGAGTCGTTACCAGTGCAATATATGAAACTGTCCACTTCCGCCGAGGAGCCATCGCGGAAGATGAAGACGTTTCCTTGGATGGATTCGATATTGGGTCTTTGCTCGACGTTGCTCGACATCTTCGAGTTAAAATGTTCCGTCCAATTATGACTTAAATACACCTAAATTAATAACAGAAAGGTTACGTTAAATTATGGGTATTATTCTGTATATGTCATTGCTATATCTATACAACAAGATTTTATAACTTTTAATAACATTATAAATCGATTACCCAATATTATTCCCAAATATTAGAAATAAAAAAAAGAGTTTTTCTTTTACATCTGGCGAAAATAATTAATGATAGGGAGAGTACGTACTTTGTCAGCGTATTGTGAGACTTCCATTGCGATATCAATACCGGACCAGGACGCGCCGAGTATGCAGACCTTTTTGCCAGCATATATCTCCGGCATTCTGTATTGATGACTGTGAATGCATTCACCGTGGAAGCTTTCGATACCTGGAGTATGCGGAACATGACCGATAGTGTAATGACCGTTGCACAACACAACGGCATCAAAAGTTTTAGTGGTCTCTACTTTGGATTCCAAATCCTTGTATGTCACCGTCCACAGCGTCTGGCCGTTTTTCAAAATCTCCGGCTCCACGTTTTTCACCAGGGTATTCAACTGAAAAAGAAAAATCAAAAATCAAAAATAATAAGCTATAGTGCGAAACTTTGCTCTTCAAACTGACGAAGAAATGTTTTTATTATGCTTCTTCTTACTTTCATATGTCATATATTTAAATAGAACAAATAGATAAGAGATAAATTATTTCGATTTTTTGAGTTTCACAGTTTATATAATTCAAGAACTCACTTTAATGTAAGGATAGAGATTGAACTGTTTTGCATAGTCCAAAAGATATTCCCTTATTAGACTATGATGAGCAAAAGATGGACCCCCCTGATTTTTAAAGGGAAAATCAGGTATCTGCATTATTTCCTTCGGTATATTTGTCCTGTAAGAGAAATCAGAACATCGCACTTTCTTAGATGATTCCTCTCATATTGAGGTGATCACGTGCGCAATTTTTATTAATATAAGGTTCAAAAGATACGACGACCCGAGATGCGATAAAGAAAGTTGCAAGTTGTATGTATGTATATGTGTATTCAACTTGAAATAAACTTTAAGCTATTTTAAACTTTATACTTGACAGAGGTAGAATACAAATTAGATAAGATGACTTTCTCTTTGCGCATTTTATATAATTAAATTATATTTTATTTATAAGATAATGAAAAAATATACGTTTAAAACGTTTCAGAACGATATGCGCTCATATGTTTAGAAAAATATTTTCGATTTTATTTTGCCTCATCTGGCAAGTTTTTAATTTAATAAAATAAATTTTTCAGTGCTAATAATAAAATAAAGTTAATTATTAGAGAAGCTGAAGTTTAATATATTTTTCAATTTTTAATTGTATCAAATTGTAGCAAATAGGAGGATAAAAAAAGATATATGAGAAAATAATGCTGTACAAAACATTAACAGATATGTAGAGGATTAAATCAATAAGTGTAACAATTTGATCAATTTCATATGTAAACATTCTTTTATATCTACATAAGTTTTGACCTGCACCACCGACGAGATACTATTAGCTCGTCGATGCCTGCACCTTTGTTGATTGATTCGATATCTAATTTATTGTGTCATCATCGACGCATTCGTCTTCTTTCCGGAATTGATCGTCAAGAAACGATCGTTTCGTTAATATTAATGTATCATATAGTGTATCGTTTATCGATAAAGTTATCGCATTTATATATTAGACTGGGTGTTACGCATGTATATGCGTGTGAGAGTTTACGCGTATGTCGTTTATATATCCTTATTTCCGAAACTTCTTATTGTCCTATTCTATCGAGGATCGGTGAAAGAAAGAGGAACCGGGTAGAATCCGATATCATTTAAATAATGTCATTTTACTTATCGAAATATCGTACATATACTAATTGTAAGATATAGAATCTACATATAAGTCTATAATGTTTAGCTTGAAAGAAGCTCGATGAAAATCGATTTATAGTGTTTCAATTATCTATGCGTATACGAAAATTATACAAATCTTTTTGATAAGTCCGTGCATGCTAATATAATATAATGATCTAATGATGCAACTCTGCCACTAAACAATCACATTTCACGAAGTCGCCAAGTCCTGTCTCCTTAGCGCGTGCTACTGATGCAATTCTGCTCATTTCTTCATAATAATTATATATAATCGTCATATCCCCTCCCCTCAATTATATATTATATTAATTTTTTACATTTTAATTGAATCGTTTGAATGTTAAAAATATATAACTCTAAAAATCTGCCGTTCTTTATTTATGATAATCTAAAACACGTTCAAAAAATTACTAAAATCTAATGTTAAGTTAATGTATGTTTATTTAAAATTTATTTAGTATTTATTTTAATCTAATTTTCTGGAGTTATGTCCTTTCACTCGAATGCACGATAATCTATATTTACATTGTGCATAAAAAAGGTTCAATTAATTTTTTATGATTAAGAAATAACGATGCTAGGAATGTTTCCGAGATGAGATATGTGTTTCTTATTTATTCGATTAATATGTTATCTATAATTTATACGAACCTAAGATTCTTATACATGCTGCTGTGAATCAAAAGTCCGTGCTTATCGAGATGCGTTTCGTCAGTGTACACCCATGTACCACCGATATGGTCAGTTTGTTCGAACAGCATTAGACTGTAAATATCTAATCTGGACACCATATGACGGGCCACCACCAAACCGGCCACTCCACCACCGATAATAGCGATTCTCGTCTTACTACTCGGCATTGTTTTCTTTTACTCTCTTTCAATCTAAAGAAATGATATTATTTGTACTCTAAAACACTCTCGATCGAAAAGGTATAACTGAATAAATAAATCTCAAAGTATACATACAAGGTGTCCCATGACTTGAGGTCCATACATTAAGGGTGTGTTATTGAAGTCATTTAGAGTTGAAATTATTTAATAAACATATGTCCGTAAATGCTTCCTAACAGAATTACAACTATTGAAAGTTGATTTGAAGATTTGAAAAAGGAAAGAAAAAAGACACTTAATTTAACTTGTTTAGTTACACAAATGTATTACAAATTCTGTTCAAAATTATCTCCTGCAGATTTAATACAAAGTCTTGCCCTTCACACATTAACTTTCAATGATTTTAGTTCTGTTAGGAAGCATTTGCAGACATATGTTTATTAAACAATTTCAACTCTAAATCTTCAATAAAACACTCTTGATGTATGGACCTCGAGTCATGGGACACCCTGTATATATACAAAGTAAAAATATACTTTTGTAAGAATACAGACGGTAATATTACATACGCTTTACGTTTTCTTCTTTCAGAAAAGATTTAGTAACGTAATAAAATAACTTTCAAGATATAAATATTGAAATGAGTAAACAAATTTGTCGTATGATAATTTTATCAGCAACTAATTAATAAATAATTATTTAATTAAAAGTTACCCGAGATTATCTTTACGTTTTCTGATTTTTATTCGTCGATGTAAAAATATATAAAAACTATATAAAATATTAAAATATTTTGCTAGCAATATTGTCTTCTCTCTTCGATCTGATCAGAACTTAGGAACGGCACACGATGTAACACTGGAGATAAACACGATTTTTCCTGAACTGGTTCGGCTAAAGGCTGGATTAAGACTGTCGAGATGAAAGCAAGTCCAAGTATTGCACTCTTGTGTTTACCCGGTCTCCCCACGCTAACTAAGCTTACATATGGGAAGTGTTTTTTCTTGGCGAGTTGCGGCGTGCGACGTATCCCCTTCTTCTGATGAAATCGCGGCGAAGTTTATAATCAGCACTGACCTGCGGGGCATCCACGAGAGTCGGCACATGGTTAAACATTCATTAATAAAAGTGTAAGTTTCGCGGCAAATTTTGGGGTCATCGTGACTTAATACGATAAGGAGATATGTACGTATCATATTTGCAAATATAATTTTAGGATTTATGGCGCAACGGGAATTTGAAAGATATAAATCTTGCAACTTTGAGTGTTATTAAATCAAAAAGACACTTAATTTTCACTTAATTTTTAATAGACTAAGAGAAATTATATTATTTATATATATTTAGCACACAAATATAAAGATGAAGTTTTACTATAACTGTTTTGTGTAAGTAAATAAATTTTATTAAAATTTAAAAAAATATGATTTCGTATAGTGCACTGGAAAAATGCATACAAAACTATCTATCATATTTACAAATTGCGGATCTCTTATAATAGTCAGCGTTTGAAGAATATTTGGAAAGTTTGAATATTATCAAATAATTAATTTAAGAGCTCAAAAAAGATCATGTCAATATTGTAATTCTAAACTTTTTCTATTCTATGCTAATTTCATGTTTCATTAATACATTTTATCCGATACGTATCACAGATGTAAGGTAGTATAGATTTTGCGCGACGAATCATGTGTGTGTGTTAAAATTTATTATTAAAATATTAGAACTACTTGCACTCTCTCTTTCTCTCTCTCTCTCTCTCTCTCTCTCTCTCTCTTTCTGATCTTATTCGTATTCAGATAGTAATTTTGTAGCTTGCTCCTATAATCAACGACACGCAATTAAATATAGAAAAAAAACGGAAAAGAAACATGCTGATAAGTGCTACAGTTTTAATGTGACAAGTGAGAAATAACGTGGTAGGTTTCGTCATATCTGTTACAACAGGCGAAATTCGCAGCAAAACGGTTATTTTTCTCCAGCCGTATGTTAATATTACTGTAATTAGTTCCTGATTATTGAGAGATTGCCGGTCGACCACGATTAAAAAGCACCAAACAAGAAATGCGAAAGGGAAAACGCCCGCTCGATTGCCGATCTCCTTCAGTCCGTTCAAAGTAATTCTGACTAAAAAATATCACGATTCAATTAGTTGTCTTACTTGCATTTTGTAAATACTTGTTTTTCCAGTTCTTCTCCAGTTTTTCGAGTAGAAAGGAAGTAGAACGCGATGTTGCATCATGCTAACGGACGCACGTTTCGTATTCACGATTGACATTAAGAAAGATATTACGATTGATATAAATTTATTGATATAAATTATGATATTAGCTTCTCCTTTAAATTTCAAATCCTCTGGTTTCAAGATTTATTCACATAATATATAAAGATGGTAATATAAGTTAATATAAACGTGAGATAAGAATTGTCATATTCTTTAATACTGATTGCGAGAATACCTATTTATACTTTTATGTTGTTAATATATTTTTATTAGCTTAATATCATCTTTCCTTAAAATAATTGCCTTCATTTAATTACGACTTAAATATACTAAGAGTATACACATTCGCATATATAATAAATTTTATCATTTATTTTTGATACTCTCAATTGCTTATTGCGATCGCAAAGAGACGAGATATTGCGTCAACCGATGATGTTCTCTTTGCTTTCAGGTTCCTGATAAGCTAGTGTAATAAAATGTATTTTGACGAAAAAAGATACATAGGTACACACGAGATGCAAAATGCATTGCAAAGTTTATGCAGCGAAATCAAATATGTATAAATTATGCTATATATAAATTGCGAATTTAATTTGGTATTATTTTTTTGTAATTAATTATATTTATCGTACAAAACGCGTAGAATTCTACGATTTCTACATTATACCATTTATATCGTTATTATTTCAATATAATAAAATTTTAACGACATAATAGCGGAGCATAATATAACGCAATTGGGCGCAATGCATTTCAGGAGAAATAAAAGCGTTTCAGTACAAATACTTCTCATTTTTCTGCTTTAATTATACATTTTTTGAACGAGATTGTCCTTTGGGGAATGGCAAAATTCTTGCCTATCAAATGTTTTTCTATCTCTTTCTTTTATAGCTGGAAGACAGAAACAGAAACAGAAAAATATCTGAGCATAAAAATTTTTTTATCGCAGTTAACTTGATAAGATTTGATAGACATGCATGTTTAGCATATGTGGCGATTTTGTAATACTGTCATACAAATATCATTTATTATTAGAATTGCTAAAATGTAATGCTCATATATTTTTCACATGTTGCAAATTTTTTATTTTTAACAAGGCATGGCACAGAATTTTTTAAAATGTTCTGCAAATATCAAACATTATGTGATAATGATAACAAATTAATAAGAACGAGAGTAAATTCATTTTGATATAGATTACTTTTGAAAATGTAATTGTACATTGACGACATTATCGTTTAGAAATATGACTCTACCACGTATAAATATTGTATATAAATCTCTTTTGTTAAGAGAGTCAAAATATAGTGATCGAATAGATATAAAATATGTAAAGTGTTCAAATTTTTAAATTAATAATAATGTAGAAGCAAAATATGTATATATAATAATTAATTTTCATCGAAATATGTTCAAAATTAAATTGATTCAAATATTGTCATCGTAATGTGCAATTACATACGATAAAGATATAAACTTTTATTTCTCGAATATTAATATATTGTACTTTTTATCTCTCTTTCTCTCTCTCTCTCTCTCCCCCCCTCTCTCTCTCTCTCTTTTAAATTAATCATTCATAATTTGTAGCAAGATTGAAAGAAGCCGATTATAAATACTGAAAGAAAGATAGTGAATCATTTATCAAGTTTTTTTACTGGAAAACAGTTTCACTGAACAAATAATGATAATCCCTGTTTATAAAGAAATCTTCCGCTATGAAGGAAATAAATTTAGCTAATGTGTAGCTATTTCTTATTTTGTTAGAACTAACGTCTTATCAATTTATTTGTCACAATATTCTATTCCAGAAGTTTGCGTAATTTATGATGTTTCAGTCGGGCTCTGTTATATTTCATCATGATCATCTTGCAATATTAGATAAAACTAAATGTAGTTAATTATGCATAAAGAAATACATGTATATATATCTAAAAATTATATAAAATTTTTGATAAAGATTTCAAATTGGTTGCCAAATTCATAAATGAAAATAAAAAAGTATAAGGTTAATTGTGAATTGATCACCATTGTAAAGAATAAATATTATTTTTACTTCATCTGATGAGATTATGATTTGTTCTAGTTGGCTGTGTCGCGATGTACAATATATGAAATCAAAGTATTGAAGATAATTTATTCACGTAATTATTAGACGCGACTGATTATAGCGTGTGGTCCCTTGTCGGAATATATAGCTATCGCTTTCATAAAGCAATTAGAAATGTGATTGTATGAGAATATGATTAAAATTTCAATTAAAATATATTGATGCAGGGAAACAATGCAAGCTTTATTTATCGGCAAAATTGAATAAACGATTATCTTTATATGCGATGCTGTTATTATCAATATTTTCTGCAAAAAGTAATCTTTTTTTATCACTGTTATATCACAGTGAAATTTAATGCAAAATATTATTATATCAGTTGTATATAAATTACTTTATTAGAAAGAAGTTCCAAAGATTTTTTATAATTTATAATTCTTTTCATGTTGAAGAATTTAACTTATAATTATCTTAAAATCCACTGGATTACAGTTCAATAAAAATGTAAAATTTAAAAGAGAAATATTTAATCTGCTACAAATTAATTCGGATTTCTATACAAATTAATCTTTTATTTTTCAATAAATTTTAGTTTTCTAAAAATTTAATTTTATTATATCAATTTTGTTTTATTTAAATTTAATTTTATTATATCAATTTTGTTTTATTTAAAATATTGAACACCGATATTAATACATTCATTATATTAAGTTTAATAAAAAAAATTTATAGTTATAATTTGTATATATAATATATTTATTGACAGTATTCAATGATGTAACATAATTAAAAGAATCTGCACTATATAAATAATAATATAAACATAAAATTATATTCATCTCATAATTGTATTATTTTTATATTTGACAGTTTATAAAACTGACACAAAAAGATTAGATTCTAGCTTGCTGAATCTTATTTTATCGACAATATTCAGAGAAAGAATTATACCCACGAAGATCAATGTTATTTTGATGATTTATTACTGTCTGATAATTCACATCTCATTATCAGTAATATTTTCAAGATGTATCGATCTCTTCTTTCTCTCTCTCTCTCTCTATTTCTACTTTATAAATATATTTTATAAAAATTTATTTTATAAATCTTGAAATAGAAACCTTAAACGAAACCGACGAGATTTTTCTGCACTGTGATTCTTTCTGCAAGCTTCATATTAATACAATGAAAACAAATTTAATTATGGTTAATGTAATAGTATGCGTAACAAATTAACTTGTCCTAATAATTAAAACGAAACAATATATTCGATCATGTACTTGTATCTCCATCGCAATTGTTAATGATTTACGTCTAGATAAATATTGGTTGTAGTAGTTTCCATAAATTTTCAGCGATCACGCGAGCTATTTGCAGTGCAACTGGAAACGTCATTGTTTCGTGCACGAGTCCAATGTGATACGAGAAAAGATAGATTTATTTGTTCATGATACGTATGTACATTCAGATGCATAATGTCTTATCAAGGGATGGAATAAGATCTCGTGGGCGTACTAAAAATATGTAAAATTATACGTATATGATAGAGAGAGAGGATGAGAATATATTCTCATTCTATGTGTTGTTATTATTAATAAATAACACGAATGATAGATATATTACATGCTTATATTAATGACATAGTAACTAATTATTAAGAGAGAATGTATATATGTGACATGAAATAAAAACGTTAGCAAATTAGCGCGACGTTGTTATCTTTTTAATAATTCAAAATATGCATCTTATCATCAAATATACAGTAGATAAGCACAAATAAATTATGTGAATATGACTTTTCGATCATTTAAGATACTGAAAAATATCTTTTGTTAACATTACAAAATCGTTGCATCACAAGAATGTATAATATCAGAGTTTGAAGGTTTTTATGAAATAGAGACGCGTCGCTTATCATGATTTTTGCAAGGGTAGAGGATGTCTGCATAGATTTCTGCGGTCCACACGATTCTGCTCGAGGAACAGTCATGCAGTGTTTGCCGTGACACTAACTGATTAACACATACGTAACAAAGATCAAGAAGGACTCATATTTGCTATAAGATAAATTCGTATTATTAAAATGAGAATTCACTTAAATATTAAATAAGAAAAGTGGATATAACACAAAAAATAAAATTTGCATCTTGTAACTTGTAACGAATCACACATCTGAAATAAAATATTGTATGTGTAAGAATGTATTAAAATAAGTGATAGATTATAACAACGTGATCTTAATAAATGATTATTAATTAAACATCCAATGTTATTTAAGAAATAGCAAAAATGGGGAAAAGTAAGTACATTCAAAAAAATTTTGTTCCTATAATATACAATATTATTCGATAAAATCTTTTTTTATGATGTCTTAATATTTTAAATGTTTAATTATCGCGATGAACTTCTTTGATAAATATTTTTTTAATTGTGGATGTTATTGCAATTCATAAAATATCATAGAATATAAAAAATATTACTACAAATATTGTATCACACATGTGATACAATATTCCAATTATGTGATACAATCTTCCAATTTAATTCATTCTATAATATAATTAACTATTTTTAATTATTTTGTGTACAGTTGTTTCCGTAAAATCTGTTTTAAAAGAAAGGCTAATGTTAAAATATCAAAGAGATAAGATAATCATTATAATAAAATTCTTTAAAAGACAAAAAAAATATCGTACTTTACTTGTTACAGGCAAGGAATTGTTTACTTGCCGAGATGTTTTATGGTTCTTAGTCTTTTATGGCTTTGCCATTAATTATATGCTGCGATTAAACTTAAACCTTACCATAGTCGCAATGGTGCTACCACATTCGAAACCCACAGCGGTCGTGCAATGCAATGTAGAAAATAGTACATTACTCTGGACCAACGAAACGTCCCAGAATAATAACGTATCTTCTTCTTTCTCGATTACGAAGCCATCATCCAAAAATGTTACGGTATTTTGAAAAGATAATATATTTTTTCAATACACATTATATTTTTGTAATAAAAATTTATAAAATACATCTCCTTTAGTGTCGACCTTTTTCGGGGGTGTTTTCTTCAATATTCTTCGATATTCTGCAATTTTGTTTAGTATGAAGATCGATTCGCCTGGAACGAGTACGAACAGGAATTGATATTGGGTGCCTATTACTGGTTGCACTGGTTATTACAATTGCCTGGTGGTCTTCTAGCCAGGCGATATGGCACGAAACTTGTATTCGGTTTAGGAAATTTATTAACGGCTCTTTTAGGATTTCTCATTCCTTATGCGACGCATCTATACGCTTTGATAATTCTTCGAATGTTGCAAGGATTGATCGCGGTAAGCTACGTTCTTGCAAAAATTAGAAAGCAAATATTGATTGATTTTTAAAGTTTGCTTACATATCCAAAAATATTATTAATGTCTATTTTTATTTCAGGGAGTTATATGGCCCTCGATGCACGATATGACGGCAAAGTGGATTCCGCCAAACGAGAGAAGCAGATTCGTTACCGCTTATCTTGGTAAAATATCATGCAAACCATTTTCATACACATTATATATGTGAGACTGAGGTACAACGGGAAACAAGGATTTACACCTTTAAACTAATTTTCAGGAAGTTCTGTGGGAGCTGCGATTATTTACCCCTTGTGTGCAGCTGTCACCAGTTTTTTCGGTTGGAGTGCATCTTTCCACGTGACGTCTTTGCTAAGTATAATGTGGTGAGTGCATTTAGGGGATTGTTATTATTTCAAACTCGTAATGAGAGATGGTCTTCGGATGTTTTGCACATTGTTTTTCGATATGTGATTCAGTGATTTATTCGTCATAAATCGCAGGTACTGCTTATGGAAATTTCTTGTGTACGATTCGCCGCAGCAGCATCCGCGAATCTCCGACGATGAGAAAAATTATATCATGGACAACATTGCCAAATCTGTTAACGAAGAAGAAACGCAAATCCCTTGGAAATCAATAATTCTATCAGGACCGGTATGGCTCACTATTGCCGCACATTGGAGCAGTGCTTGGGGTTTCTTGACGTTGATGACACAGGCGCCGACTTACTTCAACTTCGTTCACGGTTGGAATATTAATACTGTAAGTTACGCATTTCGCGTATATAATCTTGTAATAATTATTTCTCAATTATATTATATTGAATCAACATCCGTAGATTGGATTATCATTATCTTTTTCTACATAATCATAATTCAAATCTCGATTATTTTTTCAGACTGGGATCCTGGCAGGAACACCGCACATACTCAGAACCATCTTCTCGTACTTCTTTTCCATCATGAGCGACTGGTTGCTACGTACGAAGCGACTGAGCTTGACGAATGTCAGAAAATTGGCCACCTTCGTTTGTACTGTTGTTCAAGGTATCTTCCTCATAGCTCTCGGATTTAGCGGATGTCATCCATTATCCGCGATTGTCTTCATGATGGCCGGCACAGCCGTTAATGGTGCCATGTCCTCTGCCACCTTCACAAACCTTATTGACCTCAGTCCGAACTACGCCAGCATCCTCCTCGGATTCGCTAACATGATCGGCACATGGACCGGTTTTATCTCGCCGGCAGTCGTTGGTATACTAACGAATAATAACGTAAGTTTAATTTGCACAAAGATTATATATGTTCGCACGAATATCTTTAAATTTTTTGTAATATCATTTATAAAATTTATAGCAAAATGTGGGACAATGGCGTTTAGTCTTTCTAATTGCTGCTGCCAATTCAATAGTAGGTGGTATCATATATATAATCTTTGGCACTTCAAAGGAGCAACCATGGAATCAATATGTTAAATTAAACTCGAAGGAACGAGAAATGCAGGAACTGACCACAGAAGCCATAAAATCTGATAATGGCACCGAGAAAGCAAATGATATTGAAAAAATAAATTTTATTAAAGAAAGATAATAAATCTTTAAAAAAATCTTATCGAGGAGCGGAAATATCATCTATCAACAATATTAATATATATATTGTATATTCAATAATAATATTATTAATAATACACATTCATACATACATAACTTAATTTTGGAATATTTGTCACAAAGCAATGAAAGTAATCTTACATTGTAAATAAATGTTAAATTATTTAAATGTGCTATAAGACATATGTTATGACTTAGATGCATTTCGACAAAATACACGTTTGACTCAATTAAATCATTCCATCTCCGCATGTGCACAATGTGTAAATTGCGGTGCACAAGTACCAGTAATAAAATCGACAAATTGATTATTTTTTACTCTATGGTTAATACCACGTTATTTTGTCTTACACGAAAAAATACCGGAATTATCACAGCTTCTTTTCTGCTGTGAAGCAGATTAAATACCAAGCCTTATTCTACTTTCTGGACCAACATCGTGCGGCTTTCTGATGAATTAAATATATTATCATTCTCGGACTTCTGATCATTACAATCATTCATATATGAAAGTATGCAGTGTTTTTTTAATTGTTGCACGTTCATTTTTCATAAAAATCATTCAATTCAATAGCGATATCTAAGTTTTTATAATCGCAATGAGATTTTTGCACTTTGTAATTATAATAAATATTATGAATTATAATAAAGAACCGATTTTTTTTGTATCACCGTTATATGGGCACTTTCCATTTCTTAATATGTAAGCTCGAATATCAAGATCTTATTTCCAGATTTTTCATAATAAATTTTCATGTTTTTATATCGGAAGACTAATTTACAAACAAATTATGTACGGACAAATGTGAAGCACACATTTTCTTAGGGAAGTTACAACGATTCGATATTCCAATAATCCTTTAATAATTATAATAATAAATAATTAAATATATAATTAAGTATAGCAAAACAAAATACATTTTGATAATATCTATAAAAATCAATAAAATATATATTTTTCAAAA